GAAAACCCATGTTCGATGTCGTTGTTTTTATTTGCAAAAAATATCACTCCATAGATAATTTAATGCACTTGAATAGACATAAGCCGGTTTTATTTTGATTTAATTATTTATCTTTTTATTTTAGATCATTTCAATGATTAAATTCAATAAAAAAAAGTTTTTTGTAAGAATGTTATTATACGATAAAAGCGTCAAGTATCAAAGACGATGATTTTTCATACAATTTTCATAAGATTTCGTTTGATCCTCAAGAATCTGACGTCGTATTTTTTTTGATTTAAGAAATTTTTCTGATTGTAAGAAAATTTCAATACATACATCAAAACGTTTTTGAGATGTACAAAAAGTCTTTAGAAGACAAGCTGAAACATATTCTTTGTATCACAATATTGTTCTTCTACAATAATGAAATATATCTGTGTAATAGTATATTAAATTTATTTCGTTTCCATTATTGATAATCGTCGAATGACTTTTTAAACGCTTTCAATCAATTATTTACGCCAGTTATTTTTCTCTTATGTGTACAAACCTTATCATATAGCTGTTAGACAAGTTTCTTACATATTGCAGTGGCTTATGTAGTCTTTTAGCTATTTCTTATACAATGGATTGTAGGAATTCACGTAAATTGATTTACAAACTCATTGAAGTTTATTTGCGATAGATATCGAACTTGATATTGAAATTCTTTTTCAATTAGTTCTGGAAATTATATTTCATGGTATGTCTTCCAAAATCTTACAAATTTTGTTTAAAAAGCAAGCATAAGAGGTTACCAAGTTTGTAGCACATGTGAACAAGTATAATTCAATTTACATTCTCGATTATTATACATCTGATTTGGTTAGACTACTATTGGAATACACTAAAACCAAAATAATAACAAATATTGTGATTACGATTGAGTGCTTTTTCACTTAATGAAAATTTGTTTTCGTAATCAAAACTTATTGATTCCTTTTTTCCTTTGTTCAGATTATCTAGCGACTCATTATCATTGAAAATAAAACATTTGACATATTTTATGGCTACTTTTACTGTATATATTCTACTCATCAAGCACAAAGTATGTTGAAAAAGAAAGAAAAAAAAATATTGTCCAACATACAGACATTCTCAAACATTGCTCATATGATGCCGAGCACGTGGTTCATAAGTTTTAGATAAACGGTCAATTATTTGTCCAGCTGCAATGTCGTCTGTATTACGTGCAACTATGTCAAATATTAAAAATCCATCCAAGCTTAAATAATCTGTAAGACCATGAGCTGTTTCCACTCGACCATGACCTCGATATGTTGGCATCGTTGTCGATGACAATAAACTTTCTTTTTCTTTCGAAGGTGTTGCACTCATTTTCAAATATTTTTTAATTGTAGATAATCGACGTGATCTTCCTAATGATATCATCCAAAGAATCATCGATAAAAAGTTCAATATTGTTAAAACAATTAACCATATCCAAATAGCAAGAAATATCTTTTCATTGTATATATTAATTGGTAAATTGCATTGTATGGCATACCAATGTTGATTTGAACCTAAATGTCGTATCATAAAATCACACATAGTAACACGAGGAAATCTTGGTGATTCAAACCAATCATCACCACTAAATAATTTATTTATTCCTTCAGGACCGTAACTAGTAAAATGAAATGATAAAAATGTATTGAGTAGAAAGAATTGGCAAAGTGTATTGACAATATAAAGTATTTTAACACTAAAATATGTTACTGTATAACTATAATAAAAATTTGGACAACGGACACCACAACATATTGTTCCTTGTATTGAATTTTGTGTTTCAATATGTGATTGTAATGCACAATGGGTTAATTTTACACCTTTCTCAAGATCTAGTGGATCTTTAATAGCTTTTACAAGTCGTTGAATATTGACACCGCCTCGTCGTGTAAATGAATGCCATAAGTATCGAGGTAAAAGAAACAATAGAGCCATACCAAGTAGAATAAATGGTGTCCATTGATAATAAGAACTAGAAATATATTGTTAATTCAATAATACATGATTTTATTAAGAAGGTAGCTTACACATGATAGAGTCTAGGTTTCGATCGATCGGGAATTGTAACTAAAAAAAAGACAAACATAATATTCAAAACAATATTTAAGTACATTGATTCCAGAGATTGAAATGATTTCTCTTGGCTTTTCTCTTTTACATCGAGATAACAGGTTATGTAGCTTTCTCATAAATATGCTGAATTTCAAGTATCTAATTAATGCGCTGAATACGTTTCTTTTGTATGTAATTGAGAACTATAAAATACTTCACCACTTATATTAATAATAAAAATGGCTAGCTTCACGAAGCATTATTTCGTTTTAAGTGCTTTTGTTTACTTAGATTTAGATTAGCTTTTTAAGGTTATGTGAATTAATTACTTCTTTAGATTGTTTTATTTTAGATGTAAAAGGTGTTATAGTACTTTAGCGCGACTTGTTAGATGATCTTTTGTAGATTATATATGACAACTATAAATATAACATACTTTCTTCTGTTGGTAGATAATAGGATCCTTTTAACCAACAAATACTGTTTGTATAAGAATTATGTGTTCCACTAAATTGAGCTATAGTTAAAAGTACAAAATGTAATAGTAAAAGAAAGGTTTTTTTTTTTGAAACCTGCCTGGTGTCCAACAGTTGATCGGATCTCCAACATAGCTCTTTCCTGTAATTATAAAAATACACATTACTAATGCCATAACTGTATATCGACTATTAAGACGGTCGATAAGATCATCATCTTCTAAATGATTAAGTTTTCGGCCATAGCGCTCTTCTGAAATAATAATCTTGTCCATAATGAGGAAAATATTCAATAGACAATAATATTCAGTAGCCTTGCTTGGATAAGTTTACCTGAGTAGAAGCACTTTTTATTATTTCATTTCTTTTTCATCATCATGATGTTCTTTATTTTAACATTTTTTGTGTTTATTTCTCTCTCTCTTTCTGTCTCTCTCAGCCACATTCTTTTGCTTTCGTTTGTCCATGAGCAAGTGAAGAACAAAGTACACAAACTTAAAATTTTGTAGTTAGTTTCATCTACTTTGCGGTTTCTTTTTTGGCTACCAATGACATATACACTTTCTCACATCCTTTTCTTGCTGTTCTTTTGCATGTCCGCATAGAAGCAACACAGTGCTAAATGAAGTGTGAGGTATGTTTGGCAGTATGAAATCAGTAACGATAAAAAAAAAGAAAAATATTGGATTTGAAGGTAAGTATGTGAGTAAATGACGCGTCTTTTTGCAAGCTTCTATATTTTCTTTTTCTGCCATTCTCATTGCTGTGATTTCGTACATTTTTCAATAAAAATAATCCATCTAAAAATAAATTCAATTCATTCTCATCGAACATTGTGGTTACTTATTCATAGTCCTTGTCAATGCTATTGGAATCCATAAAAAAGACCAATCATATTAGATGAAAGTCTTCTTAAAATAATGAATTCTATATTGATATAATGCAAGAAAAGAAATTGAACGTATAATGATGCTCATTCGATTTTTGAGTCATGCCTTATTTATTGAAATAGGTTTTATTTAACTTTTACAAAAATGTATCAGTTATGTCCGTAAAATAGACTAACGGTAGTGCTGTTTGTATATGTTTCTTTTAATATACAGTTTTAGTATTCATTTCATGATGTTAGACAATCATAATGGTTGTAATAATACTATGTCTTTTATGATTTAGAAGACGAAAAAGAATGTCCCAAATAATTTCTAATTGATCAACGTTAATCATTTTATTACATTTCAAAGAAAAATTCAGCAGACTTTCTAATTAACTATACTCTTGGTTCGAAATCTGGATAGAATAAAAAAAAACGAAAGAAAGTAAATTTTACTTATGTTCAATAATGTCTAGAAACGAGAAGTCATAATTTATACATAACTACTATGGAGAGAAACCATTATAAATCGTTTGCTTTATTACTTGCAATAATATGAAATTTGGTCAAACTACATGAAAGTTAGTCAATATCAAATGTTTGAATAAGAAATGTCAAAATGATATAAAGCAAACAATATTGTTATGTTTTTTATACCGTCTAGAAATATATTTCTGAAATAAAAATAATCTTTCTTTTTTTTTGAAAAAATATTCTATGAAACTTGTTGTAATACATTATGAAGAAAGTTTCGCATTGAATTGAATTTCATTCATATTTGTAAGAACATGCATACTGAAATCTAATACAGTATGACTTTCTTGCTGCTGCTGTCAAAATGTAATATATAAAAGAAAATATACTTATTAATGATGATATTAATACTTGAAATATTTAATAATCAAACCGAACTCTTTCATGTTTTTTTATGTTAATAATATTATAACTATGCAATTGTAACATATAAATTACCATATCAATGTTTATTTATTCTCTTTATATTGTCTTCGAACTGAAAAAATTAAGGAAATGCTTGATTTTCAGCTAAACATTGGTAGACCATTCTATCTTTTTGATGTTTACTTCCACTTATATAGTGTTTTAAGTATGATGAAAAAAAGAGACAGGAAAATATTGGATGTGCAAAATAGCATAGAAAACTTCAAACTAGCGATCTGAGGTCATTAGAATGAAATGTTGAGGATATAGGTGTGGGACTTATCTTTACTAACATGCTTCTTTTTCCTTTTTTTAATTTCACATTTTTCCTTTGTTACTTTTCTTTTCATTGAAATTTTGTCTAGTAATAAAAAAAAGAATAAAAAGAGATTTCGTTAGGTAAATATTATTCATTTTCAAATAAACTTTCATTGAATTTGAGAATGCTGCCACTTCGTATTGGAGGACCTTTTTCAAGTTCTTTTTCTTTGACCATTTTATTGTTTATTATTTTTGTTCTTTAAAAAAAAAACTTCATCTTCAATTATAATATATATTCTACTAATTCAATATAAAAATAACTGAAAGCAAGAACTACAATAGCTAAATCTAATAAATGCATAAAGAAATTTTCAAACATTGCTTATAAGGTCCCGAGCAGGTGGATTGAAATTTCTATATAAATGATCAATTATTTTTCCAGCTACAATTTCATCTGTATTACGTGCAATTATGTAAAATATTAGAAATCCATCCATCTGTAAATAATCTAAAAATTCACTAGTTTTGTTTATTCGATATGATGATATTGTTGTCGATGTTGACAACATTTCGTTTTCGTCGAATTTTTTTTTATTTATTTTTAAATATTTTTTAATTACTGATGATCGCTGACCTCTTCCAAATAGTATTATCCAAGGAAAGATTGATAAAAAATTGAATATTGTTAAGATTATTAACCATAGCCAAATACCAAGAAATATCTTTTCATTAAACATATTAATTGGTAAATTGCATTGTACTGCATACCAATGTTGATTTGAGCCTAAACGTCGTACCATAAAATCACACATTGTAACACGAGGAAATCTTGGTGATTCAAACCAATCACCATCACTCAATAATTTATTTATTCCTTCAGGACCAAAACTAGTAAAATTAAAGGATAAAAATGCATTTAATAAGAAAAATTGAGTCAGACTATTGATAACATAAAGAACTTTTACTGCTAAATACATTAATGTATAACCAATGTAAAAATTAGAACAACGAAAACCACAACACATTTCTCCTTTTAACGTATTTTGTGTATCAAGATATAATTTGAATGATTTTTGTACTGATTCCACACCTTTATCAGTGTCTGGTTGGTCTTTTATAGTTTTTATCAGTCGTTGAATATTGAGACCACCTAGCCGCGTGAATGTATGCCAAATGTAACGAGGTAAAAGAAAGAACATAGCCATAAAAAGTAAAATAAATGCTGTCCATTGATAATAGGAACTAAATATTTAATCTTATTTGAAATAGAGAATATATTTGAAGATATAATACTTACACAAAGTACGTTCGAGGCTTCGATCGATCAGGTATAGTAACTAAAATATATTGAAAGAAATATTATTGAATATTGAATACATCTGTATTCACATTGCATTCATTTATTTTGTCACTCATTTAGAATTTCTTTCTAAGCAAAAAAGCTTTTTTTTCAGATTCTTTCGTTAATTAAAACCTTTTATTTGGTCATTTTTCTGAGACATATGCTTCAATGACAAAGTATATTAACGTAACATACTGTCTTCTGTTGGAAGATAATAGGATCCTTTTAACCAACAAATACTGTTCGCATAACCATCATGCTGTCCTTTGAATTCAGCTAAATTCAAGTAATACAAAACGAATGAGAAATATTTGGTTTAGTTTTTTTTTGTTTAAAATAAACATGCCTGGTGTCCAACAATTAATTGGTTTACCAACTAAAACACCTCCCAGAATAATAAAAATACACATAGTCAATCCCATGACTGTAATTCTATTATTTAAACGATCGACCAGATCGTCATCTTCAAGATGACTAGTCTTTGGTCCATAACGATCTTCAGCTATGAGAATTTTGTCCATAGAAATAAATTGTTTAATAATGAACTATGTTTAATATATTAGCACGAATGTTTATCAATGAATGAAAGTAATCTTATTTTTTCGTTTTTATGAGTCTTGTCTTTTTGTGTACGTGTGTGTGTACGTCGATTTCTTTTTCTTTCTTTCGTTCGTTTGCATTTCATGTATCCATGAGAGATTGAAACGTAAAATGCATATACAGAAATTTTTTTGCGGTTTTTGCATTGACTGCTCGATTTCCTTTTCAGCTGCCATTGACACACTTGTTCATACTCTCTTATGCAAACATCGACTAGTTGCGTTGTTTAATAAAGTCTTAAGTGTGATGGTAGTGAAAAGGCATTAAAATAAGCAAGGAAAGAAAGCATACGAAGATTTCTAATGAATATGCCAATAAGCAATATATATTATTCATTGTATTGTTTTTATTCTCAGTCGATGTGGTTACATCTCTTTGTCAAGTAATTTATTATTCTTTTATAAAATGAATGAAAAAAAGATTTTATTTTTTTAAACTTGAAAACTTTCATGGCGGAAAATTTTTTTTCTACAAGAATAATATATATTATAACACTTGCTCAGTATTATTTATTATTTTTTAACTATATTATTATTCATTGAAAAGCCATTTTCGATCATAATTTTTGACCTTAATTTGAAAGGCTACAACAAAACTGATTGATAATTAACATATTTATTCATAGCCTATCAATGTATTATATATTTATATTCTCATGAATAGTTGTGTTTCACTACATGAAAACCGAATTCATAAAAAAATGAGTTGAATCAGAAAAAGATTCGGCTATTATTAATGAACTTTATTTCTTTTACTAAGAGAAAAAAATTGTTTTTAGTTTTTAAATTGATGAAGTATCAACACGTTCATAATGTCCATTCGACTGTATTTGATGATTATTATCATCATCATTGTTCTCTTTTTTTATCGAATTTAAATAAATTTTAAAAAGTGCACCAACAAGATTAGCCATGATAATATCATTTGTATTATGAGCAATAATTCGAAGTACAAGTATACCATCATATTTTAAATATTTTTCAATGAATTCATCTTGTTGTTTTTCTGTTGACTTGGATAAATTCATATGAAGATATTTATAAATAAATGTACAACCAATATTCATATAAATAAGAATACAACATAAAATAAGTGATACAAATGTAAGGCTACTAAGAAGCATAAACCATGCCCAAAGAATTAAAAAAATAAGTTCATTAAATAAATTAATCGGTAAATTACATTGAACTGACCTAAAGTTGAATGTATCAGTTAAGAAATAAGATGAACAATATTAAGTTACCTCCAATGATGATTAGAACCAAGATGTCGTACCATAAAATCACACATTACAACACGAGGAAACCATTTCGATTCATTATTTGCTGTCGTATCAAGTTTTCTTAGCATAGTCGATATCCATTCAGTACCAAATGTGTGAAAAGGAAACGATAAAAGAGTACTTAGGAAATAAAATTGACATAAACAATTAATCATATAAAGAATTTTAGCAAATATATATAATAAACTTAAATGAGTATCTGAAATAATACAAAGAAAAAACTCTTTCTTAATACTCAAATCAATAATTATATTTATCTTACGATGTCGACGTGAACATTGAAATTTTTCCAATAAACGATTAAGAGTTTTATGACGATCAACAACATGTTTCGATAAATTATATTCAAGAGCAATATGAATTTGTAATGCTACTTCTTCCATATCTGTTTTCGAAACTTCTTTTATATTTTGAATTATTGAACGAAGATCAAAACCAATACGTCGACTCATATTACGCCTAAATAAGCAACATTATCAATACAGTTTAATTATAGTTTTTCTTTTTAGACTATTATAAGAAAAAAATATTTCACCAAAACATATGAGGTAAATAGAAAAATAATGCCATAACAAGTAATATATAAGGAACAAATTGATAATAAGCAATACGAAATTCAGAATTTTGTGTACGATGTGGAATTGATTGTCGATCAACTGCAAGGTAATATGTACCTTTAAGCCAACATATACTATTTGTATAAGCTACTTGAGGTCCAGAAAACTCTGCTGGAGCCCAACATGAAATTGGTTCTCTAGAGAAAAAATATGCAATATATTGGTCATGATTCAATGTTATGCAGAAAATTTTTCATATCTCTACCCGATAAATTGTTTAGCACTAACGAATGTAGTAAATGTAACAAGAAGAACAACAGTAAAACGATGATTAAATCTATCAATAATATCATCATCAGCTTTGTGTGATTGTCCAACTTGTTCAAGAGCATTTTTAAACAACGCTGCCATAGTTATTGTAAAATATGGAATGGTTTTTTTTTCTCAAAGAATTATCAGACATGATAATGATATACACCCAAAGAAAAAAAGAGGGCAAGATTAATACGTGACTGTATTGTTAATGTGAAACTATGTTCGAATTGAATAAAGGAAAGAAGAGTACTAAATCAGTTAGGTTGCATTTAGTTTCATTTGGTCTTTTTCGTTTTGTCTAATTGTATGTGACAATGGACTTGATAGCAAATGAAAAGAAACATGATGGGAGAAAGTAAAAATAATATATATATATATATATATATATATGTTAATGTCATCGATATATTCTCCAGTGTATTTATTATCCTTTTCTATGTGTGACAAGAATGTTTCTTTTTGATTAAAAAAGTTTTTTTTTCCTGCAGTAATGAAACCATTATAAATGATACATTGGTATTCAAAAACACAGAAAAAGACAATATATCGTATGGAATATATTTATACACTTGCTTCATTCTTCAGACATCTGTACTTCTAAATAATGTGAGTAATATGAATGTAAAAATGTCCTAGATCTCTATCTTTTCTTAGTATTAATTATTCTAATCTTAAAAGAAAAAGATAGTTCATTTATTTTGCATGTCTACTCGGAAATGCTTGACCCATTATGTTTCATAAATTGAAACTAAAAAAAAAGTGCATTAAATTATTTCATATCACGACATCAACTCAAAAGTCTTCTTGCATAATTCAAATAATTATTTCTATAAGGAAAGGGCGAGTTAAGTAATCGTAAAATAAATGTTTAATATACATCCTATTTTTCTTAAAGATACATTTAAAAAAAATTCCCATGATACTCATATGATGTATATGATTCGCTGAAACACTATTATTCTAATCTAGACATCAGCATTTTTTTTTGTTTTGGTATATGTGGGCAAGACACACACATTTGTTAAGTCAATTAATATCTTCGAGAAGACGCCGAGATGACAAGTTTCCTTTCTAGATCATTACTTGAACAGAACGAGAATGAACTAAACAAAGACTTGTGATGATAGAATAATTCATCATGATAAAAAGAGAAAACGAAGTGGGAGAGAGAGAGAAGAAAAAAAAGAAGCTAGTTCATTTAATTGTTCTCTAGTGGATGGATGTATGAAAACTTTGATTTGAATATGTTCTTCTTCGAATGAGTATATGTAAAAGAAGAGACAGAAAGAAGAAGACAAAAAGAGGAAGAGAGAGAGAGAGAGAGAGAGAGAGAGAGAGAGAAGAAGACAAGCATCACTAAAATCTCCAGTGTATTTCGAAAATAGATAAAAAAAAGAGAAAAGTATGTGCCTTGAATAATTGAGCGTGCAACTACCGAACGAGAAGCATACATATTCAGTTCATTATTTAAAATGACAAAATATTTTAAACGGCCCTATCACAGGTAAAATGGTTTTATTTTGTTTTCAAATGTGTTGCAACATAGAGAAAGTGCATCTAAATCTGACATTGACAGAAACAGATGGTAGTTTCCTTTCGCATAGAATTTATTAATATTCATTGTAAAAAAAAGTGAAATCAAATGATTCAGGAACTATTTCAATAGCGTGATATTTGATTTTAGTACTGTCTGTTTTATAAAGCAGTTGGAAAATAAATTAGTGTTCCGATTCTTTCTAAATCAAATTAATAGTAATTGAATTATTATGTGTCTTTCGATTTATGACAATAATCTTATTTATTAAGATGAAGCGTTGATTATTTTTATTTGATAGAATTACATTTTAGCTTCGAACTAAATAAAAAGAAACAAATTTACATTATAATCAAAATTGCTAATAAAATTTTCATGTTTTTGTTGTATAAGATCAACTAGAGTGTTTTAATTTTTGAGACTAATTAACGTCAATTTTCTACAATTGTCTATCTATGATATAAAATCTTTTATATAAAAATTCACTTAATGATTGTCTAATTTAATTTTTTATAAATCAAGTTAAATAGTTCTTCATTTGCATTCTACTGTATAGACTAATGATATAGTACAAAAGTTTTCGTCAGAGAAAAATATACTAAGTATATTGTGAATGATAATTTTATTTTAGTAGAAAAATGAAAATATAAAAAAAAATTCATGTTTTAAATATAAACGAATATATTTCATGCGTGTTGAATTGTCATAAATCATTTGAAGGTCATAGACACCAATTACTTCAGGTTATTTTTAATCTTATCAAGGTCTGATGAATAACAAACGAGATAGCTCATATAAAAATTTTGTTCTCAATAAACTTTAATTTCTATTAGACCGGATATTTACGCAATTCTTCGTTATTATACTGGTTTTGGACGATATGATGATGATTTTGTTGATCGTTTATCACGTCATTATTCAGTACTTATTTTTTCTATATTTGTTCTTATTGTTACATCTGTTCAATTTGTGGGTAAACCAATATCATGTTTTACTCCAGCATCATTTACTGGTGCTCATATAACATATACAGATTTTGTCTGTTGGATATCTGATACATATTTTATTTCATTTGATAAAGATATCCCGGAAGCAAATGATTTTGAAATACGACAAGATTCACATGTTATACGTTTCTATCAATATGTTCCGTTTATATTAATGTTACAAACATTCGGATTTTTTTTACCAGGATTTTTTTGGCGAAGTGGATCGTCACATTTAGGAATATCGTTACAAAAATATTTAGACCAACTTCATCTGAGCCGTCATTCATTATTAGAATCACCATCATACCGTCGACAATTAATACGAAATGTTGCTGTCCGTCTTGATCAATATTTTCGTGTACATCCAAGAATCATAATACCAAAATTAACCATATTTTATTTATTTATTAAATTAACATATTTAATAAATGTTTTTATACAATTAATATGTTTACATTATTTTATGAATTTTAATTTTGATATTAAAGATATAATTGAACGTTTTATTATCTATAGTAATACAGTACGTCATACGTCATTACAATTTCCAACAAATGTTTTATGTGATTTTATTGTACGTTTTCTTGGAAAGAATAAACATCGACATACAGTTCAATGTGTTTTACCAATAAATATATTTAATGAAAAAATTTTTATTTTTTCTTATTTATGGTTAATTTTATTATTCATATGTACAATATATAATTTAATTGTACAATGGATTATTTTCTTTTTATTTCATCGAGATATAATTGATACGCGTCGTCGTCGTATACATCGTACATTATCAAAATTTACATTAGAACAAAAGCAAAATCATGAAGTCATACAAATAAAGGATTATCAGTCTAGCACAAAAAATTTTAGTCAACATTATTTACAATGTGATGGAATTCTTATCATACGTTTATTAGATATGAATACTGATCTTGTTACCATGAATGATTTAATGGATGATTTATGGGAGCTTTATAATGGTGATCCATTTTAAGTGTCATATTAAATTTGATAAGAAGATTTTTTTTCTAATGTTTATTCCTTCGTGAATATTTGCTGCAAGGATAAGATGCTTTTGGAATGAAGGTCAAAAGAAAACAATGAATCAATTCATGTGTACTATGATATTTGTCGTAGTGTTTTATACTTTAAAGTCATTTTTTATTTTGTTTATGATATGTTTTTTTCTCTGAAAATTCGTATTTTTATTATGTTTAAAAATTGATGAATTGTTTTAATATTAATTGAATGAATCAATTTAAATACTTTCTATATGAAAAATAAGAAATACATTGGAATCATCAATATTGGTTTTTCTGAAATATTCATAGGTGGTGCACCATCGAAGCAATAGAATGTAATTACTTCCTCTAAAAACAATTAGCGGATGCAATAAGAAGTTATTGCTTCCCCTGATATTTTTCTATTTTGATGGTGAATATGGAAAGACTGATGGATAGTGCAAGAGCTCTGTTTTATTCTATCTGTATGTCTATACTTTTGTCACATATGTTTTTATTAAAGAAGCTGTCGACCGATTAATTAATATCATACGATCGAAGAAATACGAGGATCATGCCTCTTTTCCTTTTTTTTATCCACAATAAAAAGAAGATGCCTGCCAGCCTTCTCTGTTTTATTTCTTTTCCAATTTTGTAATTAACTTCTCGATTATTAATTGAGTGTATGAAAAAGTAAATATTCTTATTATTTAATAAAAGAAAAACAGAAACTCAATTACAAGAAAAATGTACTACTACAGCTACGAATACAGCTGTTGTGAATACAAATGAGCCCATTATATTAGATGAAACTGATGCTTCAACATCAGTATTATTATCTTGAGGGTGTGAATGTAAGCATTACTCTTCTCTGAACTCACTCACATCCCATACGTTCAACAATCAATGAGTTTTCCAATAATTGAAACCATCTTATGGATAAATAACTAAATTCTTCAAATTTCCTTCAGGATAAAAAAGCTTTTAATTTCTTATTCTTTTGCGTATCAAACCAATATAAGTGAATAAATTTGAATTTGAAACAACTGAAACTTTCACTCTTCTATGCAATTCAGTTACAAAGACTGAAGGCAAGCATTTTTAAGTGGTTTTTTTATGTTAATCCGAATATTCTTTGAGTTCTTGATCGATATATAATCATAGAGTTTCTTTTACCCATCACATCACACCAACTACAGAATTGTATAGATTCTTTTATGATTTGCATATCCTCTAAGGACAAACCAAAACGTGCATAAACAATTTTGTAACTTTTATAAAATAAGAATACATATGTGAAGTACATTTTGCTTTTTCTTAAGAGGACGTCTAGATTAAAAAAACAGTGCATATCATTGTTTTAGCCACTGGTATGATACATAAAACGAACCCGATGGTTGCACATTTATCAAGGACTGAAAAAATAATTGAGCCTATCAAAACAAAAAACATTTAGTCAAGCAATCTTTGATTGAATGACCAATCTCTACATATATTAAAACGTTAGTGAAAAGCATTCATATCTATCAAAAGTACTGCTTATGTCAAGCTTTTAATATCGAAGTCAAACAGTTCAATTAATTCGAAAACATTAAAATCTATTTAGCTAACACAAAGTCTCATTGATGACAATCAGCAGTTGATATCGAATCCAATGGATATGTCTTTGTTCGGCTTGTTTTCTGGGTTACAAGTCCCTTGAAAAAAGATACGATCAAAAACAGAAGAAATCGATATGTATTCAATTACAGTGTAATAAATATGAATAGAATACGGATTGATCTATTATGTTATAAAAGAAATATAAAATAAAATACTAACTATCATCTTCCAGACTTTTGTTGAGCGATAATTCTCATCATCCTATTTGGACAGTCACTTAGTAACAGTTGGATATTATAAAGTCAAAAACGACCGAACAAAAATTGCACTAATAAAATTACCTTAATAATGTTACATGAAACTGATAATTGACTAAAATAAGTTACACAAATACAAAAGAAAAGAATGGTAGTTTAGAAATTATAACCCAGTTCGTTTATTCATTATAAATAGATGTGCCAGTTGCGAGTATGTAATCAAATGACGCAGACTTACACTATAAGTGAAATAGTCTTTGATCGATTCCCCATGTGATAATTGCCAAGAAACTACCATCAGTATACCGATCGATATAATGTGCGTTACACCAGCAATTTGTTTTTGACATTATGGTATCATAATGGGTGAATATTTTTTAAGTCGTTAAAACTGACGAAATTGAGTCATTTTTAGTGCATTCCGATAATGTAGATAGTATGAGCCAACTGTACTAGTTACAAAGCCCAAATTGGCATCAGTTATGAGATAAGCTTCTTTTATTATTAAAATTTATTCTGAAACTGTTTTCTTCTCAGGGTAATTTGAATTCTTTTTAATAGATAATTCAACTTTGGGTAGAAAACACATTTCACAATCATTTATAACTGGAAGCGAAAATCGTAAACACTACCAACAGTAGTGCAAACTAGTGTGCAACATAAGTCAATACTTTTTCGACATTTGTTTATTTACAATCTCATCGAAACATTTTGATATGATAAATTTAATAATAAAATGATATATTTACTGTTAATGATGTACATATAACAAAAAAAACAATGTATATTTGTAATCATCTGAAAGTTGCTGAGTAGTTCTTGATTATTGTTTCATTTCCATCTGTTTAATTTATTCTTGTCAAGTAGAGTTTTTTTCTGAAAAGAAACTGTTATTTTTTTATTATAAAATGTTTCGACTATTTTTTATTTCGATGGATACGCTCAGTGCATAGAATTCTGATCTATTTATTTTCGAGTTTATTAATATCAATTTTTTATGAGTAATTTTATTGTATAAAATCTATTTTCTATTTTACTTTTTGTTTTAAAGAAACAAATCATCTTTAAATATGTATGAATAGATCAAATATAGAAAAGTAACTAGAACAGGGAAGTAGAAAACTAAGTGGCTCACTCACAAAAGAAAATTACAAAGTAACAGTATCTTTTTCCAGCGTGAGGGTCAAGGACACGACGCCTTTTCGAGAATCAGGTTGGCACTACCACAGTTCATCGTAATTGTAACATGAACTATGTGTTTACACTCTCACCAAGACGTGTCGGAATTTAAAACCGTTCTCTTGGAAGGAAATATCTTGATAAAACATTGCAGATGTATGTAGTAGTGAATATGTGCGAAAATAAGAATATTTTCTTTAACAATTTGAGTCGAATTGAATCTGAATGACGGTTCATGTATTCATTTCGGTTTCTCATCAAAACAATTATCTACTGATAGAACAATCTTTTCCTTATCATAGTATAGACATACAATGATTGATTTAGTTCATAAACTAGAAATCATAAGCTTCAAATTTCATTGTAATATTCAGTCAAAACTACCATTACTGAACAACATATTGTTTATATTTCAAATTTTAATTTTTTTTTCGAAAATCTAACATTACTTGTTCTATTTCTTTTGTCAACACAACATAGTACATTTAATAGAAATCTTCCTGAATTTTCGTTGAAAGACAACAAACCGTGCATTTCTTTTTTCTTTCGTCATATCGGTTTCAAGCAGCTACAAAAATTGCATCATCAATAGTGTTTCCGACAACTTGAATGAAAAAATGTGTGACAAAAAAAACAGAAAAAAGATGATTTGTAAGAAACGAACAAACGAGAGAAGGAGAGAGAGAGAGAGAGAGACAGAGCGAGGAAAAAAGTGACAGGCCGCAGTTCTATTTGTACAGTACACACACAGACATACATATTTATCTATTTGTAGGTGTTTTCTTTTTGTATTTGTTTAGTACAGAAAAAAAGAAAAGAAAATTTAGTTTCTACAGTGAAAAAAAAGAAGAAATCAAGAAATCTCACCATGATAAAAGACAAAAGAAAAGAAAAAAAATGAGCAAATAACACGAAAGAAAAAAACAGAGATAAACACTTAGTAATTGATCATGTTCACTCTGTTTTGATACAATAGATTTTGATAATTGGTCAAGTTCAACTTGTTGTTTTTCAAGTAACTGATTATTATCATTCTTTTCTTTTATTGAACGTTGTTTTAATTGGACAAGTTCATCACGTATTAAATCATATTCTAATGTTAATGAACGATATCGTTCTTGTTCATTTCTATGTACATCTTCCATAGAAGCAAGTCGATCTGAAATAACAATAATAATAATGAATATTTTATCGATATGGTCATTTATTTTTATTTTACCATTTGTTTCATTTAAATGTTCACGAAGTAGTTCAATTTGTTTCTGTGCTTCGATTAATTCTAAATTATCTAAAATAATTAAAATTATTCTTCTCAAGTAAAAAGAATAATAATTATAATAATAATCTTACGTTCTTCATTTGTATCTTTTATCGAAGATACATCATTCGTTATAGAAGAAACTGTTGATAATGATTGTTCATCAATATTATCAGAACTTGTTACTTTCGAATGATCTGTAATAAAGAACAAAATAACAAAGTTAATTAAAAAATTGTTTGTATTTTTTATGTATCTTAGTACTGACCTTCTTCTTCATTATGATTATTATTTATTACTGAATTAATTTGAACCACTGGAATGATTGTTTGGCGTTGTTCGTCATTTTTATGTTGTTCAGGGGAATTTATGGACTGATTTATTTGTTCTATTTCTGCATTATCTGTTTGAATTGGAATATCATCAGTATTATTTGTATGTTCATTGTTTAAAAGTGGATCTATAAATAAATAATAATAAATTGAACCCTTTCTTCTTCAAACGGATCTGAAGGCCTACATATTCAACAAGAAAAAAATGAATTTGGATTAAGAAAATAGACTAGGCATATGTAGTGAAGCCACAAGGCTTGGTTAAGCTCAAACAGGTTTTTTTCTCCTTCAATTAGATTGATAGATTTAAGTAGCGTATCACAATTCTTGTACAAATATCAAGAGCAGTTAATAATAACACTTAGTGAAACACACTAGAATCCATCATGATAGTTTACGGAAAATCTAATTTAAACTAATTAGAATTCGTCAAAATTTTCCTTCGCCATCGATGACTAAAATTTTATGCCTATGAAACATTTTCAATAATTAACAAAATCATAACTATTATACGTTGCAAAATGTCAGTACGAAAAAGAGGCACTAACTGAATTTTATCTAACGAAGAAACCCTCAAATCTGTAAATCGCTATTAAGTCAAGACTATGTGTATTATGTAGATCCAAATGAGCTATGAATATTCTGAAAAGAATTTGTGCTCTTAGCTTATTCGTACAGAGATACTGCAGTTTTATGACAGTTTTTAAATCAATGCCGAAACCCGTCTCAGAAATACCAGAAAAAGAAACTGATTTTTCGAATTTCAACTTGAAACTTTGTATAGAGACAAGTCTTGACAAGAGTAATTTATCGAATCTAGCGGTTTACTTGAGCAATGTACAAGACACACTTTTAACATAGTTGTATCTTAGGATAGACCCGGCGGCAAAATCTCAAACATTCGCACAAAACTATTCTCATAAAAGTCTGTCTCTATGCAAAGTCTCAAGTCGAAATTTGAAAATCAGGTTTTTTTTCTCATCACGACATTCATTTAAAAGATACCATAAAAGTGCAGTAACTCTGCAGCAACAAGTTAAGGATGCGAACTCTTTCCAGGATATTCATAGCTCATTTGATCTACGTACTGCACATAATCTCGATTCAAAAATGATCTACCAATTGGAGAACTTCCTTTATCAATTACATACAAAAATTTGTTCTCTCTTTAACACTTGGTATAGTTATATACACAATGAATTCTTGATGCTTTGCAATTTCTCGTGAAATGCGCATGAAAGAAAATGCTGTTTATGCATCGGCTGAGAGGAGATTCCTATGAGTCAGTAGCCCTCTATGTGTATTTGAAATCATTAATTAATAATCTCGCTTGAATGAAATCTAACTGCGAAAATTTTTTGTATACCTTTTAATGAAGATTGTACATGAAATCGACCATGTGTTTCGATATTATTCAAACCATTCTTTAAAAAAAAAGAGAATTCAATATTTATGCATTGAAATTTTCTATGAAAAATAAAAATACCTGATTGATTTGATCTGAATTATTACTGGTTGGAGATGGTTGTTGTAATTCTTCTAAATGATGTGTTCGTTGATAATAGTTTTCAAATTCAGTTTGTATTCGTTGTCGTTCATTTTCAAGGTCAGTACATCGGGTTTGAGACTCCTGAATAATAAGAAAAAAAAATACAGATTTTTCAATTTGAACAATAAGAGATAATTTACTCTAAATTTAAGTTCGAATTCCGCCAGTAGAGAGCGTTGTTCATCAAGTGATTGTACAAGTTGCTGAATTTCTTGTTTATGTTGTTCATTTTGTTCTTCAAATCTTTTAAGTTCATCTTGCGCCATTTGTAATGAACATTCTAAAGATTTACTACGACTAATAGCATCTGCTCGTTCAAGTATCGCTTTTTCTAATTTTTCCTACAATACAAACAACATTTTGTTTCAATAATGAAGAAAAATCTTCTTGTTTTACTTTTGATTCATTTTCAAATTTACAATGTGTTTGTTTTAATTGAACTATTTCTTGTGTTGGTGCATCTTCATTTGGATGCTTAAAAAATAAATAAATAAAAAAAACGATTATCATATTAATTTTCAAAATAATTCATATCTACTTTAGTATGATAAATACGAATTTGATCTTCAAGTGCATTAATACGTGCTAGAAGACGATCTTCATCAATAATTGCTTGCCAACCTTCATTCGATGCTTGTTGTGTATCACGTATTACACCTTGAAGATATTCTAATTTTTGTTCGAGCATTTGCTCACGATGCATAGCTTCCTGAAAAAAATAAAATTAATAGAATTAAATATTAAAAACAAAACGATAATTAAATCGTACTTGAAGATACTGAGCTAATTGATATAAAGTTTGAGTATTGATATCCACATCTTTTATTTGACCTAAAGATCGATCGATAGGGCTAAAACAAAAAAACCTGTATTAAATTAAATATTGAATAATTTAGTAAATTACCTTCGAGGTAGTGCTTCATTACCATCACTATGATAGAGTTTAACTTCAATGATAATACAATTATGAGTAGCTGAAAAAAAAACAAAGACAAAATTTTATCAAAAAAGACACAAAAGAAATATCCTACTTTTACGATTATTTTCAGTAACATCAACACCAAATTGAATAATATCACCAGAATAAATTTCAAATGGTAAACTTTCTTCATTACATTTGCCCAATCGTTGATTATTAACAAATGTACCATTTGAACTTTTTGTATCTTGTAATAAGAACTATGAAAACAAATGATATTGACAATTTATAAAAATTAACGAAGATAGATATCGAGCTTTTATAGGCAATTTCATTCATTAGTGACGTCATTTTGCAAAATAAAATTGCATATATCTATGAAATCTTAAGTTTCTTTTAGCTAATTTTTATAAGGTAAATATCTCAGTAGTGACGTGATCGAATGAATTTCGTATAGAATTCTTCAGGCACAGGTCTTTGTTGAGGATCTCAACATGAGAATAACAGAGGGTCTGGCTATGAAACATAAGCAGACCTCTGAAAAATCGGATTTGAGAAAGACGACTTTTTTTCTGAAAATTTCATCATAAATACAAATTCTCGGACCTATACATCATATATTCACAGAGTTGTTCGCTAATTAAATTTTCTTTAATTAACCAACTTCATTAGGTATGAATTGAAAGAGTCAAAGGGTTCAAAGGAAAAGAACTTGTTGAAACAAACTAATCTTTATAAGAAATCAAAGTAAAATTGAATATGATCATGTTCCATTTTCTCTAATTTTGGCAATATACTTAATATTGAGGTTTCTATTCGAAAACTTGAGTCTTTGGATTTTAAACTAATTAATGAACATGGCTTGAATTCGTAATGTATTGTCTCATGGTGAAGTCTCTCAACCGATTATTCATTTTGGAATTGAGAATATGTGTATCATATGGATCCTAAGAAGATCTAAATATCCTGAAACCAGTTACTCATGTAAAAAAAATTGGATTAAGAATCAGATTAAAAATCGATTATAATGGCACTATTATAATCTGATTTGAATCAGATTTTTCAGCCTTAAAAAGACAGATTTCATTTGATTTTGATTTTTTTAAAATCTATTTTAATCGGTAAATATAGTCGTTGTAGGCAATCAAGTAAAATAGATTTCAAAAAAATCAGAATCAAATCCCATCTATCTTTTTCAGGTTGAAAAATCAGATTAAAATCGGATTAGAATAGTGCCATAATAATCGATTTGTAATATGATTCTTAATCCAAATTTTTTACATTGGTACAATCCTTAAGTTTTTACTGCTGAGATTCTGCATTTTTACGATGTATGGTCCCTTCAGGAATACTAGGACAATTCATTTTCGAATTTCGATTTGAAATTTTTCATCGAGACAACTTAATGAGAACAGCTTATTGTGAGTATTTCAGATCTTTTATTTTGCTCTTTTCCTGAAGTAAGAACATCGGATTTTTTGCGATATGTTCACTGTAAAAGATAAGTTTTTATCATAATTATATTGTTAGAATGAGAACAACGAAATAGTCTCAAACTTTTACAATAAACCGTTCTCATTGAATTCTGTCTCTGTGAGAAATTGCAAAGAAAACCTTGAAAATGAGTTTTTCTAGAATTCCTAAAGGAGATCGCACACCGTAAGAAAGTAATATCTGGGCAGTAATTTAGTTAAAGGCACAGAGTCTTCTCAAGATATTCATAGCTCATTAATATCTATGTGATACACGTAGCTTTGAATAAAAATGCAATTAATCAGTTGGTGAAATTCTCTTATGAGTTAAAGCTAATGCATCCGATTAGATTAATAGAGCATTTTGCAAGATCTTTTTCTTTTTGTGGTATCTATTGATTAGTCGATGATTATGCTCATTCATAGAAAAATTCTCATGAGAGATAATTCTCTCAAGTTCAAATGTAAGATTATATGCAGATTCGAATCAATATGACAAGTTGATTAGTAAATCAAACTTCAAAAGTCTATTATTTTTCTTTTAAACATACCTTTCCATTTTCATACCAAAGTTTAGCATGTTGACGTGAGAGAACTTTACAATCAAAGATGGCATTATTTGGAAGAGCTTTAAGACGAGCAACAGCTCGGCCAACTTTAACTTGTTCATTTAATGGAATGCAACGTTCTTGGAACGGATGCGAATTAGGTCGACAACGGAATACGCAACAAGGAAAAGACATCTGATTTGATGATGATATGCCAAGTGACTGATGGGATGACGATGGGGATAAACTTCCATTTGTATTCGTCGATGAATTTAATGATGATGGAGATGATGTATCTTCAATCATAGTTAAGGATAAGTCACTCGGATAAATAGAACCATTTGTATTTTCGAAAAGAAAACAGGATGTTGGTGATGATGAAGACGTATGATTATCCATTATCTAAATAAAATATTTAAAAAAAAGACCATATTAATTATGTCTATTTATTTAATTAAAAAACAATAATATAAATTGTTTACATTATTTGATTAATGATCATTTGATAGAGATAATAAGAAATAAAAAACGAGGATGAACATAAAAGAAGATTAAAGATGTCATTGAATGTTTTTCGATACACTCGAAACAAAAAAAAGTGAATTTTTCATCTAGAAAAGAAAAAAAAACAAAACAGTTTTTTCAACAAGTGATATAATTATATTCATTAAAAAAAATCACGTAAACAATTAATAATCTGTAATAAACCCCTCCCCAAAGAAAAAAAAAGAAACAAAATAATAATAATAGTAATAGTAATAGTCAAGAATTCATTAGTAAAATATTATTAGAAGTCGCTCCTAATGATGAAATACTGTTTGTTTGCATAGATCTAAGAAATTTTTTTGGAAATCGAAGTTGAACTGTGGGACAATATCGTGCACGTTCATGCACAACAGGAGCTTTTATCCATTGTTGTGTATCCAAATCAAAAAAGTATCCTTCTTGCATAACAATAAAAGAATTCGAAGTATGAAAAACAGATATATAAATGCGTCGATTAACAGTACCAAGTGATTGTGGCCATGTTTTTGATATAGCACCAGGTATTGATGTTAATATGGTCCATTGATCAGAATGAATATCATAACTTTCAATTGATAACATACCATTACCATCATCATCAAAACCTCCAATAGCTAAAAGAAAAAAATTTTATTCATACGATAAATATGACAATTAATATACCAAGAATTTTGTCATCAAATATGTGAAATGCATGTGTCGTACGAGCATTTAGCATTGATGCACGTCGTTCTAATTGACGTTTATCGATTGAAAAGCAATAAAAATCAGCAATTTTCGACCTAGAATAGTAACATACGGTTTTTTAAAAAGTACGTCAATTATTAGTTGTTTTAAACACTTCAAATTACTTTATTTATACAGTAATAAATCCTTAAAGCATGTTCTCCAAACTATGAAAGAGATTTCAGTGATTTTTTTCTCTACGATAAGATAGTAACAGAGCATTACAAAGACCTTCTCTAAACTGTTACGCGGCAAACTTTTTTCGAGTCCCAGATCTCCTTTATGCAGTATCGAAAACTTTCGAGAAACTTCTGAATGTCTGACTTAAACGAGAGTTTTCGGAATTCAAGCCTGTCCTACAGAACTCTAATACTCTCCTATGCCGGTTTGTCATAGAAGTCTCTAAATATTCTCTGTTGTTTGGTGGAAAAGACAAGCAAAAATGGTTTGAGAATAATAGACTAAAGAAAAATGTGATAATTCTATTTACACGTCAAACAATAGTTGTTCGGTGTATATTTTCGTAAATAGAATCTTATTTTATAAAGGCTTTGACGACTAGAGTTGTGCAAGGTAATTCTATTAAATGTTTCATGATAGGACAATGTGAATGTAGAGTAGAGTTAAGATGAGTGGAAAACAGTTGACTGTATGGAACTTTGATGAACTTTACCGAACTTCGAGAGCCTTCCAAAGACTCTAAGACGAACAAAACTGAGTCTGTATAGCTTTATTGACGATCATCTAGATCCTTTTCAAATAATACTTAATGGTTAGTGACAATGTTTCTTTAGTTATCATCATATTGGTTTTGAAACGGATGACATTCTCATTTGTTTTTCATGTTTTGTTAAAATCTACATACGTACCATTGTCCATTTTTTCCACCACCTAAATAAATCGAATTATTATATGTGCAGGCGGCAAGTGATGAAAGTTGTGGACCATCAGTCGAAAATGATTCCCATTGATCATGTTCAATAGAATATCGTTCTATTGTATTGACATAAATACGTGTTGTTCGTTTAAATCCTTCAAAACCACCCATACTAGATAAAATTTTCTTAGCATGAAAAATATTTCGATGATTCTTCTACATACATATAAATATATTTATCTATATGAACAGCAGCAAAACGTGATCGATCATGTAATAGATTCTGTAATTTAGTCCATTCACATGTACGTGCGGAAAAACGATAACATGATTTATATTCTTCTGATGACGATCGACGTGTACCTAATACATATAAATAATTATTGACTGTTATGGCACTGAATGGATACTAAAAATAAAAAAAAATAATTAATAGATGATTTTGTTACTTGAACAAATATATAATTTCAATTATGAATTATAGTTAGAAAAAAAATATCTGTCAATCAGTGAAGATTATAATAGTGGTATGCTCTACATTCTAAAATTAGATAGTCATTAGGTTTTCGATCATGACATGAGACGTGCGGACTAATATTTTTCAGGAAATTTTTTAAAGTAATTTTCATGATAATAAAACAGTGATTTACTGAATCAATTTTGGGATAAGCTCTTCATGTTTATAAATAGACGATCAATACTCAATGTCTATAAACTTATTTGTATTATTTTTCATAGATAAATGTTTTCGGATGTTCATATTAAATTAAGATTCTTTGATTAACTATATCGAAATGAAACGATAATATTTTTCTGCATGATGGCTAATTGATATGACGAAAGTTTTACAATATAGTTTTTGTTTATCAAATAAAGATTTAAAGAAGAAATACCATCATTACTAAAAAGATTGTAAATTCAAGAATGATTCAAGTGTTACATTAGGTACTGACATACGTGACAAATGGATCGTTCTTTTTAGTTGCTAACAGAACATCAAAGAATATAAAAGTCGAGCAGTGCTTTATTTGTGATAAATATAAATATGTATTGTATTTTGTTATAATAACTATCTTTATGAGATTATGTTCAATGAACATACAACGTTCAATATATGATTTACAAGCATACAATATAAATGACATGATTATTGCTTTTATTTTTCACTCAAACTATCTTAAGTCAGCTTATTTTTTAATACTCATGATATATTAAGATCTATATTTGTATAATAAATATATTTAAATAAATTATTCGTACCGGATAATTTTCTTCTAATGGTGCTTGACAAAGTGTTTCCCATCTATCTAATGTTGTATTTAATGTAAATAGTTCTATTTCTCCGATAGCAACTAGAACTGGTTCATTTCTTATCTGACATTGTATATCGTTTAATAAAGGTTGTCGATTAGGTGAAGCATAATAACATAGTGCATCTTCAACTAATTTTCTTGATTGTTCATTTATGTTAATAAGTTCATGTTTACGAACATGATCACATAATCGTTCTGGTGTCATTAACATAAAACGAATAAGTTTAAATAAGTCAATAGCATATTTTTCTCTTTCAATACGATTTGCTTCAATCCATGTACATGTCATTATAAATAAATCATATTCATTATATGTATTCATTTCTAATGTATCACTTGATAGTTCTTGATAGATTTGTTCATATGTTAATTGTTCAAATTGTTCACGTGCATGAAACATGAGTGAAAGAAAATTTTTTGATATAAATAAATGCACTGTATCTAAGACATTTGTTAATGAATAAAAATCAGCTATTTTATATATATCAATACAATTATTTATTGAGCATGATTCAATAAGAAATTCTGAACATAAATCAATAGCATGTTTTATTTGTAAATGTGTTGCTGCATGCAATAATTGATCAATATTATCAAATGTTATTTGAAGTGAACCAGAATAACAAAAGTTAATCATTGATTCAACACCATGCGATGAATTTTCAAAACCTTTTAATTCAACATGATTTGATTGACTTTCATTCATGTTACCTTTTTTTTTATATTAAAAAATTAATTCTTAAAAAGATAAAGACAATGAATAAAATTCAATACAAACCATTAAACATAGCTTTAAAATAATCTGATGTTGCTATTAATAAAAATTTATGACATAAAAATTGTTTATCATTAATATCAATACGAAAATCACATAATTCAACTTTATCACGCATTAAAGAAAGTTTAGCAAGTATGTTTTTAGCATAATTTGATATCATATTCACACTTGTTCTTGCTGAAGTTGCATTTTCAAATAAAAGCATATCATCATTAAATATCTGTAAGAAATATTTCGATCATATATAATGAAAATATCAAGAAATTCTTACACGACACTGTTCACACCTTTGATAATTCATTAATTTTCTACAAAAATAAAATAAAATAAAATAAAATAATGTTAACATGAAATAGTAGCATTTGTTTTAATTCTGATAATCGTATTCACAATTAGCGTAACCAGATAAAGATTAGAGGGTATCTGTTTTCCCACCAACAGTTGAGTTTTGCTGAAAAGAAAAGGGATTGGAACTCCTTTCTACAAATACGTTCAAGAGGTTGAGCTCCTTCTACAACTTTTTTCTGGATACGCCATGAGCATTTACAAGAGAATATATTATGAAAACTAACGATTTGTTCGATAATCATGTCATGAAGTGAATGTCTGGATGAATTTATTATAGGAGTATGTAATGAATAGACGATAGAGTAGAGCAAGTTTGATTCTTGATGTAGAAGGAGATTGGATGAGTAAGCCTCCTACTTTTTCATGTTGTCTCTGAGAAAACTTCGAGTAACTGTTGGAAAACTGTCTAGCAAATATTTAATCCCTTCCATCTCTAAAAACTATCGAGAAAGTGTGGGTATGAGTTGAGAGACAAATCATGCCCACAGGTCTCACCGGCTCTAAGAAGTATTGAAGTATATAGGATAGGAATTTGTTATAATATCCGGCCCTCTTCCCTACAAATCATGTCCTACATTACTATGGAAACATCAGACGCCATGACAGATATGTTAGTAACGGCACATCACAGATGCGATTGGTATTTCTAACAATGCCTCCTGTTCATTTCAGACCGTGATAGATACTTTGTTAAAACTTCGTTACGGTGTGTGATAGATGCTTTTGACATACGGTCAAA